CCACCCTGTATAAAAGATAGACATAGCTTTTGTGTCTGAAAAATGAAGCCACTGCAGAAGTTCTTTTAATCTGCATTCTTTTCAATGGCCAGGAGGGGGCGCCTCTTGTGTTTGTGAAAGATATTCCGTTGTATAGACATATATATGAAAATGCCCCTGTTATGAGTTTATAGGCTCATTAATGTCATGTCTTATTAAATACAATATAAAGTTAATTTAATATAGACTATATAAGGCAGGATTGATCGACAAGTTGCTAGCCTATGGCTGTACAGTTTCCCTCAGTTTATCAGTTTCAAGGTGGCAAGATGATGGCAGCGAAAATGCTCATCTTAAGGCGTCACAGGCGACTTAGAGTGAGACTGGATTGTTCGAGGCATGGTCAGGAAATAATGATGATAATAATGATAATGTGCTGTGATTAGGTTTGCTGAGAGTGCTTACAATCTTGCTTGACAGACATATCCTGAAGATGGCCGGCAGGCTGGAGGAGAGCGAGCGTATCCTGGATAATAATCCTGCAGCTGGTCTGGCCAGGGCTATTGCCAAAGCCTGGGAGCTCTATGGATCAGAGAAGTAAGAATGAAGTACATCCATCGAGTACATGCCAGACATGCTGTTGATCGCTCTTTGCTTTATTCACTTGGTCTAATTATGTCACCATACATGATGAATTAATTAGTACATCCAGAATAAAACATCTTGCCAGTGGAGCTGTACATTCAAACACTGCTTCTGCTGGTGTGGTTGCTCAGTGCATCATAATATTACAAACATTTCTTCAGGACAACAAAGGACAGTGACAGTTTTGGTAGTATGGGGCACCAAAAAGCAAATCATTTCAGTTAAAATCAAAACCGTGAGAACCAGAAAAAGTCCAGAAATTTTGAGATGCAGTTGTTGTCGTTGCAGAGCAGTCGTCGCGTTCTTTGTGGAAGACGTCCAGAGAAATATCTTTGATCAGCGATTCGTTGAGTATGAACTTTGGAAGAGGTAGGTGTTACATGTGAAGGGTTAGAGCTCTCATACCTGCATGTTTTCTTTGTGTGGAAGTTAAAACATTATCTTAAAGCATTTGAAGAGTTGTGCTTTTCACCAACATGCCGTGTTTCAGAAACATTCACGTAATAAGACTGCGGTTTGAAGATGTCTTTAAAGCAGGCTCCCTTGATCAGGACAAGAGGCTTTTTGTGTAAGTCGATTTCTGTCAGCTCACAATGCACTGACACATTATTTAAGTGTATTATTCTCAAACAAAAACTATGTGTTACGCATAGCAGTGGTCCTTAATGTGTCTTTTATGTCGCTTTCACTTCAGGGACGGCAAAGAGGTCGCCGTGGTGTATTTCAGGAATGGTTACATGCCTGACAACTACACTTCTGAACAGGTCCAACTTTTGATTTGCACACAGAATGGAAGATTACATTAGAGTTTAGTTAGAAACATGCAACATGCAGACTTACTTAAAATGATTCGTATTCATGAGAAACTGGAACGTCATTATCATCCAGTTTATTTCTTTCCCTGCCTAGCAACACCAAGTCTAGCCCTGATTAGCTGATATAAGTGACAACAGACCTGTCGCCTTGTCAGTCTGAATGGGTGATTAGATGGTAAATGGCCTGTATTTGTATAGCGCTTTACACTACATTCAGTCATTCACACACACATTCACACACTGGGGATGGCAAGCTACATTGTAGCCACAGCTGCCCTGGGGCGCACTGACAGAGGCGAG